ATCAGCGTTAATTTTTTATGAATGTAGAAAATTGAGGTAGGACGTTGTAAATGGTACTGACTTTTAGAACGCATACACACTCTCATACTTGTGAAAAAAGTTATTCTGGTTGGATAAACGGTATCTGAGATATTAATTTACAAGTAAACCAGGCTCTTTGCGGGACGTGGTGCTTTCAGGAAAAGAAAGAGAGGAGCGAAACAACGTGGGGATACTAGAGACGAGGAATGCAAAAAAAAAGAAGAGGAATTGCTTGGCAGAACGAGTTGTGCAGGGCTCGATATTTCTGTGAAGGGGTGGGGGGGGGGGGGGGCTAGTAACGTTAAATCATATGCTGGCCCGGCTCAACATTCTAAGAGGGAGGAGACACTGCAGTTGAAGAAAGCGAGAAAGGAAAAAGCACCCTATCGAAAAACTAACCGTATTTTTTGTGTTGATAATGGGAAAGGTTGCTATCCTTGCTACTGTTTTTTTTCTCTCTTTTCAGTCGTGCTGCCGTGGCTGTGGCTGCAGATTTTGTTACTTTTTGGCAGAAGACAGGAGGGCGAACATTGTTCAGACGTAAGTTTGACCTGGGAAATGCAACAACACTCGCTTGTGAACAGAAGAAAAGAACATTTCTTCAAGCATGGGACGTTCGTCGTCCCGCATGCGCGTGCATCACCTTCTTTGGCCTCCGAACGTGCGCACGGATCTTTCAGTCGAGTAAACTGGTCAGCCTTGCCTTATTTCTGTGAAAATGTGGTTGGCTTAGGTGGCATATAGCTTGTGCCTTTCGTTGCTTTTTTTTACGTTCTGGTTCTTATTTTGTGCTTTAAGCTGTTCGTCTTGAACAAATACATGCTCATATAATAATTACTTTGAAAAATGTTCACATGACAAGTACCAAAACAGAGCGGGCAGTGCAAATTAAAACAAAAGAAAACTATGCTAACTTATCTCGAAAATTATTTTACAAAGGAAATGAAGCTAGGTTTTCCTTAAACATAGGCCGCAACCATGCATACTGTAAAGGCCCACTTTGCTAGATGTATGACGATGAGCACGCACTAAAATGCTACTGTAATAATCAGAAATATTTGATAAAATCAGAAAATTATCGGGAGGGGAATCGCTGATGCCGTCTACAAGAGTACCGAAATCTTATTATTTTAGTCAAAAATTGCTTTTGAATGTTTTTGCAAAGGTAGAGCTATCGATCTAGAAATATATAGAAAAACGTGCCCAGTATTGAACTTTGTTCGCGTCAGGGAGCTGTTTTTTATCATGTTGCGGCTGTTTCACACCGGATTATATCGGACGCTCTTCTTGATGTTGAACGCTCATCCTGTCTTTGTGTGGGCGTGTTTGAGTGCGCATGTGTGCGCAAGTGTGGAAAGTTTTAAAAGTTGCTTCTTTTCATGGACTCACTGACAGTATAGTGTCCGCGGCTCAGTTTTCGTGCCTCTCGCATGATTTGCCGTTCTCATGTATAATTATTTCTTTTCTAAATTATGCAAAAAGCCATCAGCCCAACCCTTGCGTAATCAGTGAATCTAATGGATGGTCCTTCGGGGATGTTGAATAGTTGTTATCGGTGACCACGCATTCTTCGTTTGTCGTGCATTGTTTTGTAAGCATTGTGGGGCTCATGTTGTAGCACTGCGCTTTAAACTAGCGTGCTGTCGATTTCATCTGATCTGTCTTATTATGTTTTGTTTTTGGTGGCTTTTTGCACGGTTGTTTATTCGTGTCTCCTTTCCCTAAATCCTGGATGATCATCCAGAATTGGCTTGTTATTTTCAAGAAAACAAAGAATAAAAACCCGTGTTTCCTTGAATTTCATCTGTTATAGCTCTGTCGAAAAAATACACAGTGCCTGTACAGTGCTTGCATGAGAATATAGGTATGTGATGCAGGTTTACGGTTGAATAAATTGTTGCTCGAGGAGAAAGCCTCAGAGCTGAGAAATAACGAAGCCGTTCAAATTAAGAAAAGTAGGAACATTTAGCATGATTAAAAGAAGGAAAAGAGATTAAGTTGCAATGTACATACACCGAGTCTAAGCTGACAAACTAAAACATGTCCTGTAAGTTGTCCAGCTATAATGCTTATGAAAATCAACATTCACCGGTGGCGTTGATGGTGGCGGTGGCTTGGTGGGTTGAGGTGGCGGGCGATGGTGATGCCTTAGCAGCTGGAGTCACACGCTGACCAGCACGGCGACGCTTGGCGGAAGACGAGGTAGCCCTTGCCTTAGCAAAAACTGTGGCCGCTTGCCGATGCTGGCTGGTTTCAAGGAGATGATCACCGCGCGGAAGGTTCCACCGTCCACGGGTGGTTCGGGATTGCAGTCGAAGCCCGGACACCTGGAACAGGACTTGAACATTCACGGCCGGATCTCTGGAAGGCCGCGTACCTCCGAGTACACCGTGGGCAGCTGGAGCGTCCTGGCCTTACCTGATTTCACGTGGTCGGGTCGGGAACCCGACACCACAGTCATGCGACACCCAGGATCTGGAATCCAGCCAGCTTGATCTCGTTCTGCCCCCCCCCCCCCCCCCCGACTCGTCTTCCTCTTCTTCCCTCTCATCCATTGGCAGCACAACCTTTCGCGCAAACATCCTCTTCCTTTTGGCGGGCCGCAGGTTCATGCGTGACGTTTCGCGCCAACGTCCTCATCGTCTTTCCGCCGCTCAATCGAGAAGCAGCACTGCCGTCGCCTTTAAGCACGTTGTACATAACACCATGGTGCCACCACACTTCACATACACCACCACGTCACTATACTACACCACAAGGGACTTGTTTGATCTAAGCAATGCGTGAAGAGATCAGCATACAATGAATAAAGAGCAGAGCAAACACTTAAAAAATGTTCTGGTCCACCTCACTGAAAGTCTCTCCGGATGAAGTAAGTACATTTGTAAAATACCCCAGAGGTACCCCACAAGATCTCCGAGTAGCCGGAGTAGAAAACCCGCAAAAATTCTCCGGAGGGGCCACGTAATCAGTCCGGCCAGCCGGAAGAAAATACCAGTAAAAAGTACTCCGGCGGCACCATGCAATTGCTCCGGTCGGCCGGAGTGAAAATCTTTTAAAAATAATCCGGGTGCACCACGCAATTCCTCCGGTGAGCTGAAGCAACACTTTTGCTCCGGGTGCCTGGAGCTAAAATTGCTCAGAATAGGGGGGATGCTAGAGGACAAGCATTTTATTCCGACTTTTTAGAAATTTTTTTTGCAAGCAGGAAACAAGTCCTTTTAGGCGGTCACTGTCAAGGTAGTTGAAGCTAAACCACTTCGAAAAAGTGATTTCAGAAGCCTCTACGAATGCGAAGAGCTTCTCCGAACGGCTTTTCCATAGGCATCTGCACAAAAGGAGCATAGGGGGTGGGCGTCTTCCCCCCTCCTGTCACCTGGAAGGGGGGCGCTAAATCTGCTCTATACATTGACTAGGTGGCGGGGCAATCATTGATCACCTAAAATGAGGGCGCAAAATCTGCCTCATACACTGAATTAAGAAGAAAGCGGGGGGTGGGGGGCACTGTAATGGACCTTCGACCCCCCCACACCCGTGAACGGCAAGCACACCTATGGGCTTACCCATCTCGGACAATTTCACCATTAACAGTATGCTCAAACTGCCGGGAGATGTACGTCTCGTCGAAGTGAAGCTCGCACACAGCCAAGTTGTGTTGAAGCAGCTTGTTTTCGCCACTGCGTAAACAGAGCTTCGTCCTTTAGAATGCCGAATAACGCTTGCTTTTTTTTAGCTTACTTGTACCCTGTAGTGCACCCCGCGTCGAAGCAAAGACTTTCTTTTCGTGCCTAGAGATGGCATACAGAAGCATTGGTGTCAGAGTGCCAGCGCAATAAAAAGAAAACGAGGACAAACGCGCCTGACGAAACAGTCGGAAACGTGAAAACAACGTATAAACAACTGCGCGTGACCCCACGCGGCTCCTCCGCAGAGGCTTCAGTGCGCAACGTAGGCACCGCTTACCTCTCATCCCACTTCCCTATTCTAGTCATTGCAATGCATTTCCGATGGAGGCGGAAATGTTGTAGGCTCGTGTGCTCAGATTTGGGTGCACGTTAAAGAACCCCAGGTGGTCTAAATTTCCGGAGCCCTCCACTACGGCGTCTCTCATAATCATATGGTGGTTTTGGGACGTTAAACCCCACATATCAATCAATCAATTAGTCATTGCAATGACTCGAACGGCGCGAGCTGAAAGACTAGCGACACCTGTCATAGGAACGGGGAAAGATAAATTGCGCTAGGCTCGCGAGGGGGGAAAAGAGGCATCACGGGACGTAAGGCGTTTATAGAAGAAGACCGCGTTCACGAAGGAAGCTGCAGTGATATTCGTATGAATCGTCAATAAACCTGTTTCTTTTCTACCAGTGTTGTGTAGCCGACCATATTCACAGTACGTTTTTTTTCTTCATTAAACGTGCAACTACAAATTATCGTTGAGTTGCGCCGGTGATAGAGAAACATTTCCGATAATAATCTGCTGCATAAAATGTTTGGATGAACGCTCATATTCAGCCAAATTTTTGAGTGTGCTTTTTCTTTTTATCTACGCCATTCGTCGTGCAATTTCTGCCATGGCCGAAGTCCAATAAAATTTGGGCAGGAACCGTAGTATCACACACATCTTCAGACATTGCAAGTGCACTGTAAAGTGCAAATGTAGTGGTAGCCGATTTCAAGAACGAGTTGCAAGCAAGGTAACTCCAGGCTCGATTCGCAAAGTCATAAATGTCAATAACCTTCTGCAAAAACGTGCAACATTGCACCTGGGCCTAAACCGAGCGTCACTGCAAGAGCGAACACATCGTTGTGTGTCTTTGTCATTGTTACCTCCATGAATAAGTGTATCGCTGGTAGCAATATTATCTAGCTGTGGTACAGAGCGACACCTTTTCTTATCAAGCACTGCAAAGCAATATCACGACAGAAGCCGTACATGCAAGTCACATGTTGGTGTTCATACCATCTTCACTCCTTACCTTGAGCTCAACCATGGGTGCTGGAAAGCCAACGTTTCCGGATGAAATTTCCCCCTTTGGGGGCGAACACAAAACACCACAGGATTCAGACATGCCATAGTGGTTCCGCAGCGAGTGGACGCCATCAAAGGCAGCGAGAATCTTCCTGGCAAATGTGTCTGTTAAAACTGTGCCACCCACATTGATTGTCTTGATGGATGGTAGCTTCGTTCCAGTCCGTAACATGTCTGCCAAGTAAAAGTGCAGCCGTGTGGGAACTGATGCTAATGTTGTCACCTGGAAGGGTGTAATTAAATCTCAACCTGACGGTACCACGATTTTTACACGATGTTTGGGGCGATTGGCATAAAGACGTAAAACAGATTCTCACGTACGTTCAATTCTTCGGTATGCGAACTGAACAACGTTGTTTTTGAAAAATCATACGACTATCATATAAACATTGCAGATACTGAAGCTTTATTGATTACGCAACGTGCAATAAATTGCTTGATTGATTAGCCCAGACCTTATAGTACTTGTAAAGATATTTGATGCGCGTTACATCAAGGCCGTATATTGTGCCTTATTTTTTTTTTGTAGTTCCTGCGGAAAAAGCTTCAGTCGGTCAATTTATAACACAATAGTCTTTTCTCTATGTGCACAATCGGCTACTACTCTGCGCTGCTTTTGCAGAAGCAATATTACATCGTCATAGAATACTTCGCAGCATGCTAGACGCTCAGCATAGAATAGTGTTATATGTCGAGGAAGGAAACTTCACCGGTAGTCATGTTTGGCTTGTGTGCTCTGACCGAAAACGCACGTGGTTGAAATCGGCAACATTTTCAGTGGCACTTGGTGCTATACTCACTGACCCCGCATTATTACCTCACACTTGACATTTCTCTTTGCTAGGAAATGTCATATCTGCCTTTTCACAGCAAAATTAAGGTGACCCTTAATATAGGAGATTTCTTATTTTTGCATTACCTATGCAAACATTGATGTCGAATTTGCTAATAACAATGATTTCTAGGCTTATAATAAACATCACGACAGCCATTGAGAGCAATGATACTAGACATTTTAATTGTTAACAGAAATTAACACAGTTCTTAGTTCTACCTAAATGCCTTGCAATCAAATTCCATGGAGAGTGACACTGGTGCCGCCGTAAGTGACAGGTAATCGTGTACAAGACTGACATTGCTTACATTTTATATCTCACTGTTGGACTCACACTTTTTGACGGCTAAAACACTCCGTTGTGATAGCCAATCCCTGTGGCTTTTCATATTTCATGCATTATTAGGATGGGCGTAGCTTAAAGTGTTTCTCTCGGTTTCCGCTATGCCATTCGACTGCGTAGTGTTCGCATGAAAGAGAAGGTGTTGGTTGGATTTATATAATTTGGCTATGAGTAATACTCGTAGATATGCTGCTATAGAAGGCATGAAACAAGCGATCAGTCACTTTCGTTTTGGACCTGTAGTGATTATTGTGCGAATATGTGCTTCACTACATGTAGTGAATATAAGCGAGAATGCATGACAATGTTAAGTGCCACGTGGCCCTATTCTGTTAAGACATATGCCATTCGTCTCTAGAAAGCGTCTGGAAGCGTATGTCGTATTTTGTTGCACTAAGCAAATAATATAGACAATAGAGTGCACCTTGGCGACAACCTCATAACTTCACTATCGCGAGCTTGAGTCTTGAATTCTTTGCCACTCGAAAATAAAGTTCAGTGAAGAAATGCCTTATATTGAACGGTATACGGAACATGAATGCACGGTTATTATACGAATCCTAATTTTTATAGAGCAGTGTTACAGGACTCTCGAAAATAATCATTGCATTCATGTTTTTGCTTCTATCTTATGACAAAGTTTAAAAATGACCATACTACCACACTTCTATGAGACTACTCAGTTCGCTCCTTAAGTGAATCTCTCGACCGTAGGCACGCGGCTCAAAATATCTATTGCTACGAAGCAATTTATAGCTTCAAAGACATACCTTGTACTTGTTGACGTAATACACAAATTGTTCGAATGTCAGTCCAGGTTTTACTATGACGCATGTGGCTCCTGCGCAAGCAGCTACTGGGATAAACATAAAACCCGACGCATATGTTATTGGATACCAGGCGAGGAGGACATCTTCAGGCTGGTAGCTGACCAGGACCCTACAATAGCAGTAAGAAATGGTGGCTCATAATTACTGGCTTGACAGACAATTATGCGTTGCACACTTAAGGCGAGTTGCTGGACGAGTTCGTAGCTCATATTAGAACGCTGGTGCGCAAAAGAGCAGCAACAGTAAAAGAAGATGCAGTGTCCATGCTCTTTCCTTTCGTGTTATCACTCTTCTACGCCCTAACTATCTGAAATGCGTTATGGCATACAATCAATGAATTAAAGCCTTTAATGTCTCGTGAGACCAGAATTCTTTAACTCTCATGAGACGACAGTGTCGCCATTACGCCAATGACTTGTCATACTCGGACGTCCTCATGAAACTTTGGTCTCCTAATTAAAAGTGAGCCAATAAGAAAGTAGAACTTCACTTAGTGAGGCTCAGCAGCCTTCAAGGAGGACTAAAGAGTCCACCCAGAAAACTAAAATCATTTAGGAATAGTAGGTTTTGAACTTCTGAAAAAAATCACGCAATAACTATGAGGCACACACAGAGGAGGCCTCTGTTAACTGCAACCACATGTGGTGTGGACGAGCGCGGAAGCGTGAAATGATAAAATATAGAGTGTTATAATCGGCTTACCACTGACCCGCAGAGCTAAATATTCACATTACTGTGATCGCAGCACTGCTGCTGTTCACCACAAAAAGCCATCAAAATTTCCAACGCGTTGACTTTCTACGCATGAATGAATAATAATTACAGCACATTCTCTTCTCCGCATTCGTGTTCCTATATGTGCTTTTCATACTCGGGTCGTCTAGGTCAATTGATGCTTAGAAAGGAACATATTCAAGAATGCAGTGATGAGTACCGACCAGCTCTGCTTCAGTGTTATAGCATGGGACACTTGGAATCCTGTAATCCGCATGACATGTATTCAGGGGAATCATTACTTTGTCAGCAGTCCAGTCACAAATAAGTACTTCAAGCAAAGGTCAAACAGCCGTGGTAGCCTAGCACCTATACGCTATCACACTGTAAGTGTTGAGGCAGCGGGTATGATTTTCAACCAGTGTGTCGATAGTGCGAAAACACAAGAACGCCCGTGTTTTAAGGTTTATGACGGAACTTCGGGTTTTCAAAATTGTTCCGGTAGTTTCTACTCTGAATGCATCATATTTATGTCGTGCATTTCGTACGCCGAACCCGGGAACATACAATCATAATTACTATAAAAATATTTTTCATCCTACTATTTGCAGCTTCCAGAGTACACAAGCACAGATTAAGACACATCAGTGCATTATGAGTGTTTATCATTGTTCTAACTATACGTTCAAACTGAAAGTATAAACGATACGCACTTTGTCAAGTGCATGTTTGCCACCAAGCTGTAATGTGATATCTCCATTCCTTTGGCGTGACCCGTCGTCCCAGACGAGTAAAAGACAGCAAGCGTGGTCCCCTTAGGGTCTTCAATGTGCACCTCTTTGAAGTCATCGTCATCATGTTCAACGAAAGCGGACACAGACACAAAGCCAGGAATAGAGTCACCAATTATGAACAAGCCCTGGAAAATACAAACAACACCATATGCAAGGCATCACACACAAAAAAAACTCGAAAGCAATCTGCAAGTATTTTCGCAGAGAATCGCGGATACTTGGTGGCTGCAGCTGAAGATCTGACTGTCTGATAATATCTTCTAGCATAAAGAATGGCAAACCGTATTATATTCATTCATAGACACCAAGAAGAGTACACTTGCCACGTAAGGCGGGTTCCGCTTCTCAAGAATCTAGAACATGGCTAGATATCGCCACCGCCAACTATATAGCTGCCTAACAAACTAAGAATGACACAGCATGAATGGCATTAGACTTACGTGATGGTGGCGTAATGTTTTATCACACCAAGCTTTGAAAGGAGGGCTAGCTGTTCGCGAGTATCCATTGCCAAAGCATAGCAAGTGGGAGTGCGTAAACATTACCCTAATTATGACTTCGACGCTGATGAAATGATACTGTCAGATGAGCCTTTCCTTTGAAAATCTTCTGTGGCCTTGGTACAATAAATGAAGACATTATTTCGTCATGTGAGCTTACAATTATTTTGTTCCTTAACCCGTGACTTTGCGGCATGTCACCTTTACATATTATCTGCTTGAATCAGTCCAGATGGTCCTGCGGGTACACTAGGGTATTCTACTCAGAGTCGCTGATGTGATCCTGCGATCAAGCATTTCTGCTTTATCAGACGACTATATCACATGTCGTCATTACCTAGCGTGGGGCGATTACTCCACTTTCGAGTTGCGCAGACAAGCCGGCATGATGTCTGCGCTCTGAAACGTATTCTAAAAGGCCTCGTCTTCGCTCGCATTTGCTAAATATACAGGAATACAATTAGCCAGCGTGCAGCATGAAGCTGAAATTCCATCAATGCGACATGGATCGTAGCAGACTGTATCAAGGAAAAAAACGCCAGGCCTGTGTTGATCGCGCAGCACTGTCACAGCAGAAGCTAGAAGACAGGGCTATAACAGTCTTTTTTTCAACACATTTGGGTAGATGCTGCAAGCACACTTGCAAGGTACCCGTTACGCCATTATACAGTGCGTAAAGAGCATGCATTCACTGTGCCGTCTTTCGTCATTCTTCGGAGAAGCGTGGTGTCCGCTTAACATTTGCAACGAATTTTGTGTGAACGTAGTTGTTCCTGCAGTGGCTGGTGACGATAAAGAATGAAGCCTGAAGTGGGTAGGTGCCACAGTCAATAGGTGATGAAAAACAAGGTTCTGTATAGGGTTGGAGCATTGGACACACACTCTTACGCAATTAGCATTATGTGACGCCTACTGTTTCTTTGCTGTTCTAAAATGCTTTATTACTCATATTAACACGATTCCTTTCTCATCATCAAGCATACCTAAAGCAAGTTTGCGAATGAGTCGCAAGCACCAGCGCGGCTCGGCAGTAAAATACTCAGCTGGCATGCAGTAGACCCGGGTTCAAATTCCGTTATGTCCTTGTTTCTCCTTTGAGTTTTTTTTCCTATTTCATGCGACAGTGGTTACCAACTGCATGACGATTCAAACGTCTGCTAGTCTTGAGAAAAGTGGAACATTGGTCCTAACCTCTGAGAGTTCTAGCATTTGCAGTTCACATGAAGCACCACAAAATGACTTTCACGTCAATATGAGGTGCCCTTCACACGCTTTTGCTTCAGAGTACTTCAGCTAAATTCTCATCTTCACAAATCAGGATTTTCAATAACTAACCTAAGTGCAATTTGCAATAAACCGGAAACAATAGATCACTTCCTTCTCACATGCCGCTGATCGTCTCACTCCGCCAAATAACTCTCGAGGGACCTATCGGTATGCTGGAGTTAGCATTTTCTACATTCACCGTTTTATTGTCTGGAGAGAGTGAGTTCTGTCCACTCTACCTAAATTCTTTCAGGACCCGGAAGGACACATAGTAGTGGTACCAGAAGTTGAATTGAAGTATTTGTCTTCCTTTTTTTTTTGCTACTATTAACGTCTGGCTTGTCGAATCCTTTTGACTTTCCTCACTGTCGTTATTTATTTTTTTATTTTTTGTACGTTATTATTCATCTCGTTTTTATCTGATTTCTCATTCTTTCAACAAGCATTGCATCTGCTATAAGGTACAGTGTGCCATTCCTTCTTGTGGCGTGCCCCGTGCTCTCATATGAGTTTTTGCCGTAGGACGATTCTTATGCTATGGTGACCTGGTGAACGTTTTAAAGACGATAGTCTTTCTTGCGTACCTTCGACGCAAAAATTTTGGTCTGTCTGTCTGTCCACTCTTAACGGTACCGGGTACTTAAAATTTTGGAGTTTCTCAAAATTAACTAGAGGGCACTCTGGCGCGGCGATCGTTCAGCGACCATGGGAATGATGGGTAGTACACACATTTGCCTAGTCTTCGTAGTTGCGGGTGGCGAATCGTACTTGCTGCTTTGTTTATTGCTGTGTTTCGGTTTTGTTTTGAAAGAAAGATTGAATCCTTTTGAACATCGTGAGCCGATTTGGAAAGTAAGTCTAAATAAATAAAGCGGTGAAGCGCAACCACTGAACGTTTGCTAACACTTGTTTCGTAAGAAAACAGCTCCAAGCCACACGAACACACACGGAGCCAAAAGGAGGCCAGAAGTACGATGATTAGACAAATATGTGTACTATCCATCATTTTCATGCTTGCTGAAGCACCGTGCGTTGCAGCTCCCATAGACACTAGCGCCGAGTTCCCTCTAGTAAGTATTGCGGAAAACTCTACGCTTAAAACGACACCAGCGGATATCCTAAACGACCGACACAATCAGCAGCATCCACCAATGCTGCTCAAGCTTCAGCGTTCATACTTATGCGCTTGTCAATTAGAAAGCAATTATTGCGCATCTTTGAGGTACCATAACAACACGTATATATTCTGAATGTTGTAGGCCCGTGTTCTCAGCTTTGGGTGCACGTTAAAGAACCCCAGGTGGTCTAAATTTCCGGAGCCCTCCTCTACGGCGTCTCTCATAATCATATGGTGGTTTTGGGACGTTAAACCCCACAAATCAATCAATGTATGTGCGTCTTTTACTAGAAAAGGCATGCATAAGTTATTTTAGTACCATAGCATTTATCACGTGGCGCTGACCACGCAACGCTTGCACGAAAAGAGAAGTGTTTCCAACGCTTTGCTTAGACGACACGGTGGAGGCACCTACACGTCCCCTTGCGTTCTACACCATATCACTTCTGAGACGGGCGCGCACACCCGTCTCAGAGCCGCGCGTTCCGTTTTCCAAGATAACTGCCAGATAGCGTTCATGTCTCACGTGTGACGTGACTTGGTGCACTCGTTCCCCTTTGCTTCACGCTCGAGGCACTCTAACGCAGTGCCTCCGGAATAGCATTCACCAATTTTCTTGCGCAGAACATCAAATAAACGTTTTGTTTATTCTTTTCAGACCCAGCACTATCTGCTTTCGACGACATTTGCAAATTAACATGTAGATACAGGGCAGATTTTTTTTGTAGTTGCGCAGAAGAGTTAGGGGTAGGTTTGCCGCCACAGTAGTTCGCAATTCGTTGCAATCAGGTCTTATTTTAAATACTAAACGCCTATTAACATTCCGCTGCATCAGTGGTAGCAATAGGGACATCAAAGTTTTCGCTGAACAAGGAGGCACTAGCTTGCTTCCGACCACTCTATCTGAATTGTTCAAACAGCGGTTGCTGTATTGAAACAAACGTTTGAAATTAACTTCTGCATAAGCGGCAATCAATTCTAATATGAGTAAAGCAGGCAAAATGTTAACTACAAACGCTGGTGAGTGGTGAGGATAGCTGGCTTCCAGTTTTTTCGTTTACGTTCGCTACAATCGGATTCTTTGCCTTCGAGCCCACTAATTTTCTCTCGGTGGTTTGTTCTTTTTTTCATGAAGTAATACGGGGGGGGGGGGGGGGGGGGTACCTGTACAACTTTACAACAAAAGCTGTTATGAGATCACTTTACGGGTCACGCGCAGTTGTTGTCCGCCACCAACGCCTCTGCTGCATCAGTAACCACATCGCGCGGAAATAGAAAAAAAAAACATTGACACAGGGGGGCTTGAACCCGAATCCACTGAGTGCCAGCTCAATATTCTACCACTGAAGTGCTCGTAGCTTGACAAACTTGCCTTAGGCAGGCATGATTTAGCACCAGTGGCACAGTGGGGCTAGAACCCAGGCCCGTTGGGTGCCAGCTCAGAACTATACCACTGAGCTATGCCGGTGCTTGTGACTTGTCAAATTTGCCTTAGGCAAAGTTGATGTCAGGAAAGCAATCGCGTTAATACAAATTAAAAAGCGTTTTACAGCAGCGAAAGAACAAGCAGTCGTCGTACAGCGCGAATAGCGTAACGAGTGGGCCATCTATTGCTTCAAACCAACACGAAAGCCAGTTATTGTTCCCCTATTAACTTTGGCGCATACCCACTTCAGCCATAATTCCTCAGCGTCGTCATTCACTGCATGGACAATTGGCACAAAATTCCTAGGAAGTGTTGAGCGGATACCACGCTTCTCAGAAGAATGACGAAAAATCACATATCGAATGCCAGCCAACTATCCAAAAGTTTATTATTAATGCACTAGTGGGTACCAGGCAAGTGTGCTTGCCGTAATTATGAAATGATTGTTTTCAAAAGGCTCTGAAAAGTCACTATTCTGGCTTTCGCTGTGACTGTGCTGTGTCTATACTAACCAGGCCTGGCGTTTTTTTTTTTTTTTTGTGTCGAGAATTTTTCCTTCTTGCGCACAGCGCATAAACAGACAAAGGGACGTGACAAGCAACAAAGACAAGCGCTTTTACGTCCTGCATGTCTTTTTACGCTGTACGCAAGTTTAATATTGTTGCACACATGAACGAAGACAACGAAGACTAAGATGAGCATGCTTCCCAATAGGGGTTAGAAAGAAAGAGTTGGGTGATTTGTGGGGTTTAGCATCCCGAAACCACCATAAGATTATGAGAGACGCCGTAGTGGAGGGCTCTGTAAATTTCGACC